GCGCTTAAAAACCATTTAGATGGTTATCAGATTTAAGTTGAATTTTATTTAAATATATCAATTTTTTAAGTCATTAATAATTTATTGAAATATTTATAAAATGGTAAGTGTTAATTTTCTATTCTACTCTCATTTATTACATTTATTTAATAAATACCTAAAAGTACCTAGACAATTAACACATTCCATTAATTATTTATTCTTATTAATTCTTTAAATAATTAAAAAAAAAAATAACATAAACAGTTACTAGAATTTGTAAAGAAAGAAAAGTTAATAAGAAATGTAGTATTTTACATTTCCTCGTATTTTATCAGTGTTAACGGGTTTAAAAACCATATTAAAGTAGCTCGACTATTCCCTTTTTTAATGCTTATGATTACATGTCCACATATATCCACACGTTGTTACAGAATTTTTTTGAAGATTTAGTATGCGAAAGTATTGTTAGACTATAGCGGATTCTCGTGATGGAATTCAACGAACGCAAGAAGACGTCGCTTTGGTAAGCCTCGAGGACTTACCTCTTTATCTCTGTCACGAACGAATGGCTCATGTACGCGTGGAGGGACACGAGTAGGACCTCCATGTTTCTCGAGGTCTAACGTAGTGGACACTTGGTCCAAGGATCTCAGTTAAGTATACATGTTGAGGAAAAAATTATAGCGACGTGTTTAACAACGTAGAAAAGTCTGAATTAAACTCAAACAAAGCGGGGGAAAATGGCAGAAGATAAAAGTAAGAATAGTAGAGGTATGAAAAAAGAAAGAAAAAAATGAAAATTCATTAAATAACGTCTGCTGCTTTTTTGTGACTTTACGGCAGTTTCCCGCGAGAGAAGCCTGCGTGGAAACTGTTTTTCTCTGGGATAAATAAAGTGGCGTTTTGTGTGCGACACGTAATAGGAGAAAAAAGCGAGAGAGAAAGAGAGTGTGTAGCAAGCAGCAAAGCTAGGAAACTGTATAGTTAGGGAAGTAAAGAGGGAAAACCGGTTGCAGATAGTTCACTCCTGCTTCACCAACGATACGGTTAATCTTCGCACCAAGCTCTAAATAAGGAGATTAAAACACAGGAGAATGAGAGAGAGAGAGAGAGAGCGAGGGAGGTTAAGATACAAAAAAAAATTCCAGTAGAAAAACAGAGACGAACGATAGTTGTCTCATGGGCTTATCGCGTTTATAAAAGTCTAACCTTTGGCGCTATGCATATCCGGAAGTGACCGTGGATCACAGAAGCTGGCTTCTTAGTATGTATATACCGCTGGGGATCGAGTTATAAGTGGGGATTACTTCAACTCTTAACGATTGTTCTGCTCGTTTGGGTATCCATTAACGCGTTCTTCCACCTCCATCATTGGTACGTGGGAATTTTCTTCTCTCCTTCTGGGCAAGACATATCTTTTAGACTTTTCGCTCTTTTTCTTCTCGTTTCCTCTTCCGCTTGGCGTTTATATGGCCTTTGGCTTAATCCAAGTTTGCCCGGTGATCGCATTCGTTACTTGAATCGCTATTTTAAAAGGCAGTTTTCCTCTGAACTACTTTACACACTCGTATAACGGTGGAGGTCACCTTACCTCTTTTATTCTCTCATGATTCTTTTCTTCTTTCGTCTTTATCTTAGGACCCTGGCCAATATAGTGCTTGAGCTTTTTTCTTTTTTTATTATCATTCTCAGCTTTTTCACTTTGTGTTTTCTCACCTTTGCCACCACGTGCCACGTTTTTTGCACTTGACCGATAAGCCATTTAAATTCTATCGACGAAAGAACGAAAACTTTCGTTCATGTTCGTAGAATATTTTTCGTTATTTCCTTTATTCGTTTCCATCGTTGATGATATGGATTTCTTTTTCTTTCTTTTTTAGAAAAGGAGTTCTCGATTACAACTACTCATGTCGATTTTATTTGCTTTTCCCCCCTTATATCTCTTTTTAAAATTGACGTTTTTCACAACAAATTTTATTTCATACAAGATCACGTCAAAATGCTTTGGAAATTGTATCTCTGAGGAATTTGCAGACATTCTAGGAAATGTATTTGCGAGTGGGATGTGTATCGTACGAGGATTGATACATGAAAGGTAAAGCAGAATAAAACGGAGGAGGAAAAAGACTTAAAGAAGAATAAGAAAAAGACGACGACGAAGTCAAACATTTCTCGTAAGCTCGTGGCATCCACGTGGCACTTGTGAGCTAATTAACTACAAAGGTCGGCTTTAATTAATGTCATGTAACGCATAGTTATGCGTGTCGCCTTAGAAGTTTACTCTTTGACGTTGATATCATCGAATTTTATTGTTTTTGTGGTTCGAAAAAATGAGGAATTAAAAAGTTGATGGTGAAGTATAGTCGATGATATTCTAATAATAAATACATCAAGCGAAGCAAGAATTACAGTCTGTAATGATTATTATATTTCTCATTTTATTCTTTCAACATTAAAGAAAATGACCGAGATAATTATTCTCTAATGACACCGACTCTTAAATAAATTGTATTTTTGTTTAAATAAAATTTTATCATAAAAATATCTTTTCAAGGACAGGTATTTAAAGAAAAAGTAATATTCTAAATATTCGTTCTTCGCCAATCATTATATGTTGTATATAATCCATTGTTAAATTGAAATTCTTAACAGCTACGTTTATTAGAATGTAACAATAGCAAGCTCGTAATTATTTTTTTCCTCACTTATTTTGAGTTGTAATTTACACAACAAGTTAACTGACAACGCAATATAATTAAACTGACGGGTAAAGATTTTTAATGAGAGAATACAACAGGAGTTTTAATCTGTGCCACGTGTGCGATCTTGATACTGTAAGTCTGAGTCGCTCTGAAAAGTCTAGACACGGTGGACCTCCTTCTTCGTTAGTTCTTGGTTGTTGTCATGATATACCTGATGAATATAAGCAAGACAAAGATAGCTTAATCACGACTCAGTTGCTCGAGTCTCATGTCGCAAAATATCTGAAGCGTCAGTGATTGCGTACACTTTCTTCCTCTTGATCCTTTACCCTTTTGACCTGACTTTTAAGTAGTAACAACTTTTCAATAAGACATCTCTTTTACATATGAACACGTGCTCGTTAAAATTTTATATCTCGATTTTAATTGATTAAAAAAACAACGAATAACATTGATATAAACTGTATATATTATTTCATTCATTCACTTTCCTCCTGATAAATAATATTTTCTTAAGTTTATAAATGTTATTATGTACGAACAAATTCGAACTCATCCATTTCATTACTTTAAAAAAGACATAGAGAATATTATAAGCTGGAAAACCAACAAGGCACCTGGTACCACGTCGATAAATCCCCGCTAGTTCACGAGCTCAGGCTTCTCTTGTCTGTGTTTTTCTTCTATCATTGCATCGCGTCCTTCCGCTTCCTTTTTCGGTACGAGACAACATAGAAGCGGGAAGGAGATCCTTTCTCTGGTATTTCAGAGACAGGCTCATCGACTAGACATTTTATATACCCGGTGTCGTAATCCTATTTGAAATTTTTTCTTCTTTATGTCTCTTATTTATTCATTTTTATTATTTATTGACTACTTGATAATGAAAAATCAACTACTGTTTTCATTATTCTGGACGATTAAAATTTTTTGTAAATTGTTGTTACATTTGGTTCAGACGTATTATTGGAAAATTACATTATTGTCATTTAAAAATATATGTTGTATGATATTGAATGGATACAATACAGAACAATGGTGAGTTTTCATATCGGAATTTGTATCAATTATTTTTCATGTCGAAAATTTTTTCCTGTCAATTGTCTCTTGACCTTAACTGTTTATCTACTGAACAGTTTGCCCTATTCATGTAGTAGTTTTTTTTTTCTTTATTTTCAACACAATTTTTTTATCGCGGTTTATCGTTTTTTTCATCAATGTGAATAAAGTTAACAACTCGGAAGCTGTCAAGTGACCACGAAAGTTTTTAACTATTTTTTGAAATATTTTTTATTGGTCAACGATGTTAGAACCAAATATATTTTATAATTCACCAAAGTAATACGCTTTATCAATTAAATCTTTCTAGTCTATTTTAATTTTCAGCAGAAAAATAAAAATGAACCAGTAATTCCACTGTATTTTTTAAAAAACTTTTTTTAGTAAAAAAAAAAAAATTACATTAATTATATTTTCTTCTCTTTGATAATAATGTGTCTAAACAAAATTTTATTAAGTATTCTACTGAAAATAATAATAAATTCTCAAGTTGAAGAGATCTATTGATGCGTGACCAGTCTTAACCTTATAACTTAAGCGTCAAAGAAAAATATTTCGATATGAAGATTGAATCGTGAAAAAAAGATTCAAGACTTCGTTAGTGTCAAGACGCGAGTCGTACGAGTATATCACTCCTGATATTGTGGCAAGCTGTCTATCAGGTTGGCGCGCAAAAGAGAAAGAGAAAAATAGAGAGCTAAGCAAAAGTTCTCCGTACGCATATCTTTTTCATTGGATCTGAAAGGAGGAGGTATTTTATGGTGATCTCGAAGCTGGCTGGTCCATCACGGGTGAATATAGCCAGTGTACCTACCACAGTCGACTGAGATTGAACGTTGAAAAGGGGAGAGAGAAAGAGAGAAAGAGAGAGAGGGATAGTAGCCAACCAGCCCTGTAGGCATTGGTTGTGCTGGAACCAGCTGAAATCAATCCAAAGTCACTATCGATCCCCTCGTCTTCTTCCACCTCCGCAGAGAAGCTTCGTTAGTATACTCGCCCACGAGGACTGGTCCTCGTTAACTGTTTGCTCTCTGCAACGCATTCGCCCTTGAGAGATCACCCTCAAGCAATACTTAAAGCATAGAAAAGCCACTCGAGGTTCAATCATTCTATTTTCCTTTAATAAATGAGATTAATCCGCAAATGAAAAATACAAAAAATCGTTTAAGCTTTGAACCAGTTTAAACGTAAGAGTTTGAGGCAAATGAAATATTTATAAACTTTGTTATTAATTGACTGCATTTTGGTTTGTTTCAGGAGAACGAGGTGGTTTTTAGAAGAAGCCGTAGGGAGGAGGGGGGACGGGTAAAATCCCGTCCCGTAGGATAGGAAGGTAGTTTAGGGGTGTAAGTTGGATTGACGAGACTTAGGAGGGTGAAGCAGGGATGACGAAACTTCCATTTCATTGTCGGCGGATGCCGCCTGTTCTTCTTTTGCTCTTGTTCTACTTTCTTCTGGAGGTACCGCTTAAGGCTGATGCTGCGTCATCAGATATTGTTAATCAGTTTTACGATCCAGAGGTCCAGCGAATGAATCACCTCGTCGTAGACAAGAACACTGGTCGAGTCTATGTAGGAGCGGTTAATCGTCTTTACCAATTTTCACCAGATCTCAATGTCGTAGTAAAAGCAATCACTGGGCCCCAGGAAGATGCTTACGACTGTTCTAGTTTCAATTGTCCTGAAGATGCTGTTAAACGAAAACTGGACAATGTTAATAAGGCTTTGGTGATTGATTATACAACGAGCAGGCTGATATCATGCAATAGCCTATTCCAAGGAACATGTGATGTTAGGAATCTCAACAGTATTACGGAAGTAGTGCAGAAAGTAAAAGATCCAGTTGTAGCGAACAATGCGACAGCATCAACAGTGGCATTCATTGCTCCTGGACCTCCAAATCCTCCTGTATCTCAAGTCATGTATGTCGGTGTCACGTACACTGCGAATTCACCATACAGGTCGGAGGTTCCGGCGGTTAGTTCAAGATCCCTCGACTCAAACAAGATGCTCAACATCGCCGAGTCCGCGGTCACGACTGGCACGAGGATATACGTAAACTCACTCTCAAGGGAGCGATATCCGATCAACTACATATACGGTTTCAGCAGTGAGGGCTTCAGCTACTTCTTTACCACCCAGTTGAAAAACAGTGAGGCCACTAACTTTATCTCCAAGCTCGTTAGACTCTGCCAGGATGACATGCACTACTATTCTTACACAGAAATTCCAGTTGAGTGCAAGAATGCAGACACAAACTATAACCTTGTACAAGCGGCTTACGTTGGTAAAGCAGGATCCGTTCTTGCCAGTGCACTTGGAATTACGGCTCAAGATGATGTGTTGTATGCTATATTTGCTGTTAGTGACGATCCTAATAGCCAACGACCTGGTAACGATTCAGCTCTTTGTGTTTATGCACTAAAAAATATCCGCAGGAAGTTTATGAAAAATATACAAAAGTGTTTTGCTGGAGATGGTCAACGAGGATTAGAGTTCATTTCGCCGAGTCACAAGTGCGTTCTTACGGTGAGTCAACATCTTTTCTCAATCTTTTAATAATTACTGTATAGGTAAGAGTAAACATATCTAGAAGTTGAGTGCGGTTTCTCGAATCATCTTGAGGATCTTTCGTCCCTGAAGGATTTAAGTGAGAAACCAATAGATAATCGGTATAAAGACGAGGATAGAATTGTCTAGATATATCTTACTCTATTATTCATCCTCTTTTCTCAAGGAAATAGCTCGTGAACTCGAGATCCGTGATACGTCCTTGTCGTCCATTAGGGGATAAATCAATTGGCAAATACTTGATACTACATCGCGTCTACTGCACCTGTATTTATGTAACAGGTGGCATTGATGTAACCAACTGTATCTTTCTCGCGTTGAGGATTATTCTGAACGTCTCAACGTCGCGCCATATGCACGATTCATTATTTCATGACGCGTTCACAAGTAGATGCATGTATGTGCAATGTATATATGTCAAAATTATGATGAGACTCGTGATTCGCGTGACGATGTGTTGCATTGCGAAAAGTGCCGAGGGGCTGCAAATCATCCCTGCACTGATCTCTTTGAAAAGTGACTACTCACCTTAGAGACATTATCTATTATCCATTGTTCTCAAGTCATTTATTATTGTCAAACATAATGAATAATTAAGTCATTGTTCTGCATGATTTAGCTGTGAGTTATTATTTTTCGTCTATCATTATTATTTATATTGATGGCTTTGAATCCCACATTGATTTTTTTTTGTTACTCTCAATCTTATATCAAACAAACATCTTCCATTTTGTCTTGTAATGAATAAATTCTATTTACAAGCTTTATTAACTATTGATAGATGATATTATCAATTATTAAAATTAGTTGGAGATCAACAAAAAATTATGCTTCAATATAATTGATCTTTTTTTTTTTTTTCGTTTTATTTAAAAAAACTTATAAAAGTAATTTTTATTATAGAACAAGTATTCAAAGTTTATAAATAATAACGTGACATAGAAAAGGACTTAATTACTGGCAAAAGTTTTTAAATACTGCATAAATATTCAATAGACGATCGCAAACTGTGGTAGGAAGTTTAATCGAAATATTGAATAATTTTCACTATCATAGTCATTGAGTATGCCAGGGAAATAAACTGATAGACATTTTCACGATAAGTATTAATATTATTGAAGTTTTCTATCATCAGTACTCTTAGAAATTTTTCACTTCCAATATTTCTGTACTAAAGTGATTTATTTCATGAAAATTGCATTTTTACCAGATCGACAGCAGTAATAAATGGGATAAAAATTCCAAAAAAATTTTCATTTCGATCTCTGATTAATTGAATTTCAAAGTTCTCTCGAATTCCTCCATGAAAATAGATATATTTAAGAGTGTATGTGATAAAAAATATATTTCTAACAGTGATGTATGCTTGGAACAATTAAAAGTGAAAAAGTATTATTGAAAAATGAGGTTACACAAGTTATTGACATGAAATTATATATTTTTATCTAAAAAATATGTACATAGATGATAACAACCAACAATTTCCGAGTGCATTTGAACATTATGTCAATCGATCGTTGGCTCATATATACAACAACTTCCTTTTTTTCCCTCTGGGCAATTAACTGACGAGTTATTCACACGAAAACACTAGTGCTTAAATAACAAATGAGATACGTGTGCTAACTGAAATGCTTTATGTCACATTTAATAGACGATTTTGCAAATAATTTATGTGGTAGTAGTTTAACGATGAAATTTGTTTATGACGCTTTTAGAAGAGCAACGTTGGGAAAATCGAATTTTCTTTCTACCTGTTAAAGCTCAACGACTCGACGGAAACCTTATCTAGTTCGATAACTCGATTAATTTCTCAGCGAGTGGGCGTGCAGCCCGCGGATATTTTATATTGGCAATTCGATTTGCGCATGAAATTAGATATTCGCTTGAGAATCCTCGCGCCACTTCGATTATAGATAATTCTCTTCTTCATTTTATATACATGTATATATCTATCTATACATATAATATACCGTTTTCGTTATATATTCGAGCAGAACTATGTAAACTTTTTGTCATTATCACTTTAGCATCTCGTTAAAAGGGAAACCATTGGCAAGAAGCCAAGCATATCTTTACGAATATCGTGTTAACATGAGGTATGTGTAACATTTTCAAGTCAGTATTTGCCTCGTTATTTTTCTTGACTACGTCTGCTTTTCTTTTCTCATACTTGATGTATATAAAAGTTTAAATTCGAATACGCATGCGTTTTATCTTGATTGTGTGGCCCATGAAGAAGTGGTTTATTGACCTTTTTTCTTTTTGTATTCTCATTCTTACGTGTATATAAAGCTAACAATCGTTAATAGATAAATTCTACGAAATAATAAAACAACATTCGCAGATTTTCTTACAAAAGTCCGCAAGTTGTTGAAAAGGAAAGCAAAATAAAGATAATAAACAAACAATTCTTAACTTAAACTCAAGTTTAGTTCACTTGTTGTTTGGATAGGCCGGTTTGATTCTTACTTGGTTTGAAAAGAAATCAGAAGTAGTGACCAGGATGAGTAGAAAAAGTTGATAGAAGAAGAGATAAAATCAAAGGAATTGAAGATAAAAAAGAAAAAGATCAGGGCTGAAGGTTTTAGCGAACTGAAAAAGAGAACGATGAGATGATAGAGAGAGAGAGAGAGAGAGAGAGAGAGAGAGAGAGAGAGAGGAAGAGAGAAAGGAAGGTCGTACGAGTCATAGATTTGAAGGAAACCCATTCGCGCAAATTGGATAGCCTTGCACATTGCCAGAGATGGCAAACTATGCAATTAAAAAGTTTCCAATGGAGAAAAAATCTCCTAGTGCACCTGGTGGAATGAAAGATAGAGATTGGAACGATAGTGAGATGACACTCACTTTTTTTGCACATTTCTCCAGAGATTCTCTGACGTATTAAAAAGTTTCAGCACTCTTACAATGGGTGTCGATATTTGTTATTGATGTTCATGCCAATTCATTCATCTTTTTTACTTTTATTCATTTTCATTGAGTCCTTTTTTAATCAATTAATTATTTTTTATTTATGAAGGGGATTAGATTATTTACAAAAAATTATTCCAATAATTAGTTATAATTAGTTGGTGTTTAAGATATTAATTCGATTAATTACCTCAATTATTATTTATTTAATAAATTTATTATATAATTCAACTAATTTAATATTTATATATTATTTTAAAAATTTCCCAAGTCAGAATAGAGTAATGTAGTTGTCAAAATACATTCTATTACTGGTGAATGTAATTAATTCAAATGCATTTACTGTAGGAATTGTGGCCACAAATACATTAATAATCACTGTTAGAAGAGTATTAATTTCAGTAGAACTAAAAATAAATTTTATTTTATTTTTCAATTTTAAATTTGACTGCTATAGACTTTACAGAGGACTTTCGAAATTCATTCATATTATTAATCGAAAAACTTCAAATTTAGTACTAGTTAATTTTCACGGAAATAAATATATTGATTATTTCTGCATTCAAAAGTTGATGAAAAATATTCCAACTTTCAATAACTCATTATTATTTCAATGAAGAGGTTGTTTTATTAACAATTTTTCTCAACATCTCTTCAGCTTTTTTTTAATTTCACTAGAAAATTAGTAATTACAGAAAAATTAATGAATATTTATTAATTTATTTTTAATTAAAAATTATCTAGAATTTTCGTCTCCAATACAAGAGTTGATACAAAAAAAAAATGTTTCAATTTTATCATTAGTTCGACATTTAAATTGAAGCAAAAAAAGATAATAACTTATTAAGTCACGCAAAAAAATTTTATTCTATCAAAAAGAAAGACACAATTTCAGCTACTCTATACAAAGAAGTATTCCATTGGCCTTAATATAACCAGAGTATATTTTTCAATTATGTTCGATAAGAGATCTCTCGGAATAATACATAATGAATGATTGTAGTATAAAACATACTGAGTCCGCGTGAAAGATATTTTTGATTTTAAATTAAACTATTTTTTATTCAAGCCTGTAATGTATAATATATTCTCTTTTTAAAGTCGATCATATCAAACAGAGTATTGTAGATTGCAATCAACACACGCAATATTCTTGGCTTTCACCTTTCCCCTGACTCGCTGAAAATAATTGATACAATCGCACGAATGCGTCAACCTTTTGCTTGACCTGAGAATTGTCCTCATCACAGAAATTTTAAGAGGATACAAAACCCAAATGTCTCCCCTTATGTGTTTCCACACTTGGCAAATGACAATTTGACATTTTGTCTTTTACCTTTGTACTTGATAGGTGCCATGTTGTGTGTAGATATATATCTGTAACAACAAAAGAGCGAGTGAATAAAAAAAGATCAAGGAGAAGGTGCTGCGTATAACTTCCGGTTTGCAGATAATCTTGATAACTTACAAAGATATCGTTTAGTTGTTGGACGCATGGGCGTGTGCACTTTGATCAAGTTAATTCTTAGTGAGAAACCAGGTTAAATAGTGAGTTGGTTAAACCATCAAGACTCCATACGCCCGCGCCAGCTTTCTCTCTCGCCCTTCGTAAAACCATAATATACAATGAACTGTTTTTATTTTTATTTTTTCTCCTCTCTTGTTCCTCTCAATACATTTGTGCGCACTCTCTTGGATTACCACTCGTGTGGGCTTTATAAACCTTTCGAGACTTTCTATTGTTATTCAGATATATGCTGGCTCAGAATATCTCAACTTTTTCCAAAGTCTATAAATTTTTTTAGCTCCTAGAGAACTTTTGCCCGTACAGCCTTTTGTCTTTAAATGAATTATTATCTTTACCAGTATTTTAAACCAGAGTATATTAATGTTCTCTATAAAGAAATCCCTGGTTTATACAACTAACTCAATTTTTTGCAATAATTTTTTTGTTGTGATATTAAGTCAAATATCTACAAAAGTCGATTATTAAATGCAATTTATACAATAAAAATATTTTCTTTATCAAGTTTTTTTTACTTTTT